GATCCAACTCACCGAAGCGGAGACCACGAAGTCTGACGACGCGGAGCGGTCCTGTACGCCGCGGCCGTTTTAGAGCTTGACGATCTCAAATGGCAGAACAACTTTCTCCGGGGAATTCGGCCGGCCAGGTGTGCACCTTCCTCTTCAAAAAGCCTGGGCGGAAAGGGGCGGCGGGGCGCCGAAAGCGCCCGCTCTGTGATGCAGGGTCCGGGGACAGTGGCAGCAGCAGCGACGAAAGCAGCGCTGTGGTTCGACCGGAGAAGAAGCAGGCAACCCACAATCCGATGATCCAGAAGACGCGTGGTAGCGGTAAACAGAAGACGAACTACAGCGGCTTGAGTAGCGAGGACGAGAATGTACAGGAGGGTCTCGGCGTGGTCTACAAGTCGACCCGTTCGGCAAAACCCGTGGGGCCCGAGGATATGGGGGCTACCGCTGTCTATGAACTGGACACTGAGAAGGAGCGCGATGCACAATCCATCTTTGAACGGAGCCAGAAGATCCAGGAGGAGCTGAGAGGTAAGGAAGATGACAAGATCTATCGGGGAATCAATAATTATCAGAAATACGTGAAACCCAAAGATACGTCCATGGGCAATGCCTCCTCCGGGATGGTGAGGAAAGGTCCCATCCGAGCTCCCGAGCATCTACGTGCCACCGTGCGCTGGGATTACCAGCCCGACATCTGCAAGGACTACAAGGAGACTGGCTTCTGCGGCTTCGGAGACAGCTGCAAATTCCTCCATGACCGTTCAGATTACAAGCACGGGTGGCAGATCGAACGTGAGCTTGATGAGGGTCGCTATGGTGTCTATGAGGACGAAAACTACGAAGTGGGAAGAGATGATGAGGAAATACCATTCAAGTGTTTCATCTGTCGCCAGACCTTCCAAAACCCAGTTGTCACCAAGTGTAGGCATTATTTCTGCGAGAGATGTGCACTGCAGCATTTCCGCACCACATCTCGTTGCTATGTCTGTGATCAGCAGACCAATGGCGTCTTCAATCCAGCCAAAGAAGTGATTGCTAAACTTGGAAAGCATCGAGCTGAAGCAGAGGGAGGTCCTTCTGATTTCCAAAAAGACCCTGAGGAGGAGAGTTCAGTTCCCATTATTTAGGTTTTCCGTAATTCCCAGTCGCAAAATAAATATTTTGTTGTTTGTTAAAAATCTTTTGGAATCTTTTTTTCTTTTAGGAAAGTGGCAGAGAAGGCAGGCGATGGAATAGGGCCCTGGATGAAAGGTTTCAAGATAGGTATTATCTGGATGTTTTTAGCCTTGAAATAGGTACCTAACTGGTGAGTATTTCAGAGCCCTGTGTCATAAGTTGTGTGGATGGGAGAAGTCACGAAAAAAAGCTAAGATGTACTTGGGGGAACCAAAGTTGTGATGAAGCCAAGAACTGGACATATTTATTATATCATATTTCTATATTATGTAATAGTGTAGAAATTACTTTGATGCATTATGTTGTTGGAGCAAGTGTTGTTTTAAAATGCACATTGGAGGGTTTGAGTTGGTCCTTGATCACTTTGAAAGTGTACCTTGCAATCTTTGGAAAGTGGTCCATGCTTCCTTTGGAGCACCTATAGGTAACCCCCATTTCCACAGCTGATGAAATATGATAGATACTGTCCAGTATAATAGGTATTAGCCTCATGTGGCTACTTGTGCTTGAAATGTATAGATGGCCACTAAATTGGATGTTACACTTAACTGAATTTGTGAACTTGGAGATGGTAAAAGGCCTAATGTTTTATAATCCATAATCTGAAACTATCGGTGTTCTCTTAGACTCCAATAGAACTAATCACACCTTGTTAAAATTAGAACTAATCACACATTGTTAAAATTAGTGTACTTGTAGTCAAAATTGTTTGGGAACTAGCTTAGTGCTTGGCATATAGTTAAGAAATTGATGAGAGAGTTCTAAGAAAGGGGATTTAGACCAAAGCTTTGAGTCCACACCGAGGAATTTGAAGTTATATTCTGTAGGTAATGGGAAGATGAGGATTACACATACATTTGTGTAATTCAAATTGGGTTGAGATCAGGAAACAGATGAATGTATAAATTGAGTTAAATTGGGCTTTATTCATATTTAAAGATATTCATTTAAAGATTTTCTTTGAACAGACATTCTTTTTTTGTCCCTCTTTGGCTTTTTGAGAGAGGATCTCTTTGTGTAGCCCTGGCTGTTCTGGAACTCACTCTGTAGACCAGGCTGTCCTCAAACTCACAGAGATCTGCCTGCCTCTGCCTCCCAAGAGCTGGCATTAAAGGTGTGAGCCACCACCGCCTGACTGAACAGAGGTTCTTAAGCACTGTGTTTAGGACAGGGGATAATAGCAATGAATACAGTAGACACAGGCCGCAACTTCTGGAACTGTATACTGAATAGTAGCGACAAATGAGGTTGGTCTCAGCATTAACCTAATCTCTTGGGCTGGTGACATGTCTCAGTGGGTGGAGGCACCTACTGCCAGACCTGACTACCTGAATTGGACCCACATAGTGGAGGGACAGAGTTGACTCCCATCTTCAAGTACACACTGAGAATAAAGTAAATAAAATGTAATAGAGAAAAATAAGAACCTAGTCCTGGGACTGAGGGGAATACGGTTCCGTGGAAGAGCAACTGGCTGGAATGCCCAAGGGGAAAAAAGAATTGAAACACAACCTAGGACTCCACAGACATAAGATCACTTTTTCTTTTTCTTTTTTTTTTTAAGACAAGGTTTCTCTGTGTAACAGTCCTAGCTGTCCTGGAAACTCACTCTGTAGACCAGGCTGGCCTCAAATTCAGTTTTGCTTGCCCCCATCTCCCAAGTGCTGGGATAAAAGGCGTGCATCATCACCGCCTGGCAAGATCACTTTTTCTTACTATTTATTTGGGGTGTGTGTGTGTGAGAGACAGAGAGAGACAGAGAGAGACACACACACAGAGTGTATGGGCATCATGTATGTGTGTAGTGCCTTTGAAAGCCATAAGAGGACACTGGCTCCCTGAAACTGGAATTAGGGGCAGCAAGAGTTCATATGTGGGTTCCCTGTGTGGCTAGGAAGGCCGCTTAACTGCTGAACCATCTCGAGAGCCCCGTGGACTCACAGGATAGACTAGGATAGACTGTAGTAAAGAGTGTATGTAGCATAACTGAGGTATACGAGCAGTTTACTAGAAACAGGGCTTGAGGACACAGGAAATAATATGTAAGAGATGCGCAGAAGAATCAGTTAAATAGGAAAGAAAAGAGGCTATTGTAGAGAAGGCAGACAAAATGAAAAAATTCAGAGAAACAAATACAACAGGGGCCGAAGAGATGATTCAGCAGGGAAGAGTACTTGCTGTGAAAGCCTGAGGACCTGACGTAGAAAAGTTGGCCATGATTGCACGTGCATGTAACCTTCAGCTTTGTGGGAGCAGGAAGGCTGGGAGATCATTGGCCAGTCAGCCTGGCCAAAATGATGAGCTTCCAGCACAATGAGAGACCCTGTCTGAAAGAATAAAGCCCTGGCAGATGGCTTGGTGGGTACGACTGTCTGCAATTCAAGCCAGGAGATCTCAGTATGGATCACGGGAACCCCATGGCAAAACTTTGTGGCAGTGTGTGAACCCCAACAGTTCTCTAGGGAGATGGGAGGTGGACGCAGGAGAATACCCTAGAAGCTCAGAGGCCATCTGAACTGGGATACACAGAGCAATGAACACGAGATACCCTGCCTCAAAAACAAGAGGGACGAAGAGACTAGATCGTTCAGTAGTTAAAAGAGTGCTTACTACTCTCCCAGAGTAGTTAACAACTACTCCCAGAGTAGTTAACAACTGCCTGAACTCCAGCTCCAAGGGCTCAGTGCCCTCTTCTTGTGTGCAGATCTCCACAGACCTCCAGACAAGCACTGTTCCTTATATGTGCCACCACACAGAAACCTGTATACAATACACAAAAATAAATGTTTTTATAAGATGGGGACTAATGACTCAGTATGCCCCCCCCACAATACATAAATAAATGTATTTTTTTTGAAAGAGTGAAGAGGGCCAGCAAGATGGCTTAGAGAAGGTAAAGAGGCTTGCAGTCAAGCCCGATGACCATAGTGGGATGCCCCAAGCGTTGTGAAGGGAGGGAGCTAGCTCCCACAGGTTCTTCTCTGACCTTTACATGAGCTGACAAGACACCCAACCCTCAGCACACAAATCATAAATAAATGTAGTTTAGGGTTTTTTTTTTTTTAAATTAATTTCAAATTCCTCTCTCTCACTCAGGACCGCGAGGGGTGCACCCACACACTGAGACAATGGGGATGTTCTATCGGGAACTCACCAAGGCCAGCTGGCCTGGGTCTGAAAAAGCCTGGGTTAAAACAGGACTCGCTGAACATAGCGGACAATGAGGACTACTGAGACCCCAAGAACAATGGCAATGGGTTTTTGATCCTACTGCACCTATTGGTTATGTGGGAGCCTAGGCAGTTTGGATGCTCACCTTACTAGACCTGGATGGAGGTGGGTGGTCCTTGGACTTCCCACAGGGCAGGGAACCCTGATTGCTCTTTGGGCTGATGAGGGAGGGGGACTTGAGGGGGGAGGAGGGAAATGGGAGGCGGCGGTGGGGAAGAGACAGAAATCTTTAATAAATAATTAATAAAAAATTAAAAAACACAAATTCCTCTCTCTCTCTCTCTCTCTCTCTCTCTCTCTCTCTCTTTAGAGATTTATTTATTTTGTTTACAGTGTTCCGTCTGCATGTCTGCCTGCAGGCCAGAAGAGGGCACCAGATTTCATTACAGATGGCTGTGAGCCACCACGTGGTGGCTGGGAATTGAACTCAGGGTCTCTGGAAGATCAATCACTGCTCTTAACCTCTAAGCCATCTCTCCAGCCCTGTAGTTTAGTTTTTTAATGGTGGAAAGCCAATAGAGGAAACCACCTGAAGTCAAACTGTGATGACACCTGTCCACACACACACACACATACACACTGAGACTTTAAATTCTTATTTGTTTATTACATGTAAAAGTATTTTGCCTGCGTGTATATATGTATGTGCACCATGTGCCTGTAGTGCCTGGCAGGCCAGAGAGGGCATCAGATTCCCTTGGACTGAAGTTACTGGTGGTTGTTAGTTACCATGTGGGGCTGGAAATTGAACCTGGGTCCTCCGGAAGAGCAGCCAGTGCTTTTAACCACAGTGCAATGTCACTAGCCCCAAATTTAAGTTTTAAAAATAAGTCTGTTGCTGTGGGATAATCCTTCTGTAGGCTGTGATTATGTATCACTCTCATTGGTTGATAATAAAGCTAATTTGGCCTATAGTAAGGCAGACTATGACTAGGCGGGGAAGCCAAACTGAACATACAGAGAGGAAAATGGGCAGAGTCAGAGGGAGATGAGGCTGACTCTAGTAACACGTCATCAAACCTCCAGACATCCGGGCACTCAGGCGTGCATGTGCACGCGGGAGTGTGTGCGCGCGCCTGGGCTACTGTTTGAGCATTTATAAATAATATTAAGCCTCTGTGTGGTAGTTTGGGAAGTGACTGCTGGGTATTTGGGACTGAGCAGCTCTGAGACAGGAAACATCTGCCTACAGTGGTAAGAACCTTTACCCATTGAGCCATCTTGCCAGCCCGGCATTTAAGGGCCAGTGAGATGTATCAGCCAGTATAGGTAAGTACCTGCTACCAAGTCCGAAGATGTGCATTTGATTCTGGGACCCATGTTACGGAAGAATTGAGCTGATGTGGGTGAAATGTCCTCTAATCTCCTGGAATTCATTTACTTGGGCGTACACATATGTACACATACAAAAGAAGTAAAAAGGTTGAAGTTTAAAAACATTATTATTTATTTTTATATTACGTGCTTAGGTGCTTGGTGTGTATGTATGTATGTGCATACGTACATGCTATACATGTATAGCACCTACAGAGGCCAGGATAGGGCATCCAATATCCTGGAACTGGAGTTATACGGATGGTTGTGAGCTGTCACATGGATGCTGGGTACCCACCACGCGTGGAGAAAGAGAAAGCGCTTCTGCCAAATTGACTGTCTCCTGTAGACAGATTTGTCTTTGGTCTGCCGGCCCACAAAAAATGACACGGATGCATTATTAATTATGAAAGCTCGGCCTTAGCTTAGGCTTGTTTTTAACCAATTCTT